TATCTTGTTGGAGAGGACCTTCTCAAAACAGAGACATGGATGCGTCAGCGTATCTTCGCCCATGTCCTAGAGAAGAAGTCCAAGACCGGTGAGGGCTGGCTTCGGGAGCTCATCTCCGGGTTCAAGCTGTCCTCTCGTGTGCCCCCACTGCCAGGCATCGTAATTAAAGCAAAAGCTTTTGTTCCTGAACTCTTCAAAGCTTCGCTTGCAACCTGCGAAATTCCCTCAACCTGATCCCTGCCAGGCATCCAGGGGGACCAGGAAGAAGATGATTACTACGCGGAGCAGCAGGCTCAGCAGGCCCTGTGCTAAAGTTCCTTTCTGTGCTACTGTACCTTAGGCTTTCTCTACTCCAATTATAGTTTTTCATGGTCTTCCCTTTTATCGAAGGCTACGTCGCAAGCCTTCTCCCAGGGACTGCGCCAGGGCTTCATGAGCAGCAAGCCCGGGGGACAGCAAGGCTACGGGGCCTTGGATTTGTCAAGGGGTTAGGACCGGCTTTGACCGAGGGTTGTAGGGGCTTCGGCTTTTGTGGGTAAGGAATATGCTCCATATACGCAGATAGAAGATATAAGATCAGAGACGATGTTTGATATATAGATAGATCGACCGACGGATAGATAAACAAATAGATAATAGTCAGATATAGATATATAGATATAGCTGTAGTGATGGACCTGTAGAGATAGGTGGTCTAGATATAGATATCTACAGATACATAAATACGTAGATAGACAGACAGACAGATAGATGCATAGATGGATAGATAGATAGACAGCCATATAAATAGACAGATCGACAGATAGACAGACAGACAGACAGACAGACAGACAGACAGACAGTCAGATAGATAGACAAAAGAGAGTGATAGATAGAGAGGGAGAGAGAGTTCTGTATCTACGTCTATACATATATATATATGTATATATATACATACATACATGCATACATACATACATACATACATACATACATACATCTGTATGTACATATATGAACACACACACATTTTATTCTATTTATTTATATTTATATTTATATGTTTATATCTAGATGGGCTGCAGGATTTGGGGCTTTAGGGGTTTAAGGTTTATAGGACTTGGCATTCTGTGTGAAACCAAGGCTACGGTGCTTTCGATCCGGCATTTGAAGGGACCAAGCCTTTCGAGTACAAAGGCAAGATGTACACAATGGCGCCAAATGGCGTCATGTTTGATCCACCGAACCAGAGTCTTAGCTGTGTAGGGTTCATATTAACAGAGCATTCCCTTAGAGCCCCCATGTGGTCAGAGTATAATATCCAAAATCCTTTCCCAGCCCTTCTAGATGCGCAGTGTTGTCCGCTGAAGTGTTTGCAATACCAAAGTTCAATTGTGGTTTTGGTCCTCGTTCATCCCAGAAATAAAGGCCAGTCCTAACCCTCATCCCGAAGCCCTCAACCGTAAACCCGAACCCGAAATGAGAAGCCAGGATCCCCATGGGTATTTGGAATCCCGACACTCAGCGACTGGACCCGGCTGCCGGAATGATGCCTGGCTGCCCTTACCCTGCTATCTCCTACCTGGGTCGGACGTAGCCGTGGCTCAATTTAGGGTTTAGGGGTGCTTGTTTTTTACGTTGCTCTCTCTAGGAATGAAGGCGTTTTTGAAGGGGAAGTATGTACGCTACGAAGTATTGAATGTCCGGGGGGCTACAGGTACATCCTACTCCCAGACCAGCGCCTATTGGATCCGGAGACCGAAGACATTGTCGGGACCTTCAATCGGGAGACGAGCGAAATAGACTTGCAGAATCCTACGCTGCTTCAACAGGTGGGCTCCTTGAAGGAGCTGGGTTCAGATCCTACTCTCCCCAACGATTCGGAACCCCTTGACATCCATGAGTACATCGAGCGCGGAAACCAGATGGTAAAGGCCGGGAGGTTCAAGGCAGCCGCAGGCCTCTTCTCCGAGGCCCTGAATGCCTGCTCGTCCGCACGCGCCGTGGATCTCGACCTGGAGACGGACATCATCAAGTCACGTGCCACCCTTTTCTTCGTGTTGAGAAAACGTGTTGCCTTTGTTGATCTATGAGATGTACAGTGTTTATGAAGTCCTTGGCACAGTGTTTGTGTCTTCAGAAAAGTACTTTAACTGGTCTCCTGATGTTGATCGGCGCCTGAAGAAGTCCTTAAATCCCAAACCTACCTAAACCCCTAAACCCTAAACCCCCAAACCTCAAAGCCGAGGCCAAGTGCTGGAAAGCTCTGGGATGTTTCCAGGAGCTGAAGGATGATTCCTCCAAGGTTCTGAAGTTGACGGGGAACCGTGGCTAGGTGGCATTTTGGGGGGTTTAGGGTTTAGGGGTTTTAGGGCTGCTTGCTCCAACTCCGGGCGAAGTGGCAAGCCTGTTCAAAAAAAAAAGGTTTTGGGGGAAGATGGTTTGAGATAAAGCTGTGACAGGTGGCAGCATTGTAGGGTTGATGGTTTGAGATAAGCTGTGACAGGTGGCATGTTACGGCTTATGGGTTTAGGGCTTGAGATAAACGCTTAAGCTTGCTAAAGGGGGATCTAAGCGCTATATTGATTCTGTTCACGGGGCCGTAAAGTGCGAGCCAGGTGACGCCGATGCCTTGCAATGGCACAGAGCCGCAGAGGAGGGCCTCGCGTACAAAAGCCGTCGGCAAGCGCTCCACCCGCGAGAAGAATGAGGGATTGCAATGCAAACCGTCGTGGCAGCAGGTGCTCTTGATGCAAGGCCTTCAAGAGACGAAATGAGGGGTTGAGAACTTTTTGTCCATGGGCCTTTTGAGGCCCTGGTTCGATTTTGTGCCTGAGTTTCTTGAGGTGGATAGGTTGTCTGTGTAAGGATGTCAATGCCGTGGGGCTCTAGTTGCCTAAGTAGGACTAGGAGGTTACTAACCATATTATATGTACCCCACTTACCCGCGGTTTACGCAACCGGAGCCCTGGGGAACGGACGTCCATCAGTCCATCAGATCGTTGTGGTCAGCCATCCTTCTCCGTTCCGTTTTGCAGGGACCTGTGTTTCTTTGTTCCTGCAATTGCAAACGGAGCATTGTCAGTGTTCTTGATGCGATTGCCTGCGGCACGGAAGCTTAAACCATGCAGCACTTACGTTTCCTGCAGAGGTCAACGTGTGCCCTGAGCCCGTAGCCCGGAATGATATATGCTAAACTGCTAAACCCCAATACACACTGAAGGCAGTGGCTGACTCAGTCTGACGAGTTTTATTTCCGAAATCACTTGTCCGGGCCGGGTGCCGGTGTCGCAGGTTTTGGGCCTGGGTTCCGGACGAGTCTTATGAGCTGATGCAGACGAAAACGAGCGCCGGGTTTCGGGCCTCCCGGGATTCTGGGCTTTGGGTTCAAGGCCGCCACCTATCCTGCTCGAACCTTCAAAGACTCACGTTTCAGGGATTTGGTTCACGGACTCCGACAGCCCAAGCCACCCAGGCACCTGGCTACGCTGCCCCTAGTGGTTGAAAGCATCGTCAAGGAAGCGGACCGGGGCAAGGTTGAGGCAGCCTTCAGCGGGGATCCCTCATCCCTGAACCCAACTTCCTAAGCCACATCCCCAAGAGCCGAAAAGCCCGACATCTCTATTCGGCCGCCGATTGGAGGAAAACTACATCCGCCCAACGGTTTCAGGTCTTAGATTTTTTCACGTTTCACTTTCGTAAATTCGTAGCTAGGCTTGGGTCTTATGGTTCCCTGCTCCCTGAATTGTGGTTCCAGGCTTGTGGGTTTTCAGGCGCAAAAGAACCCATGACCCGCAACCCTATAAATTCGGGGTTGCCGCGAACAGTCGCTGGCATGCTCTCTCTACAGGAGAAGAGCGCTGTGAAATGGTATGTAAATTGAACACTTATTTCGTATTTTGGGGCTGATAAGTGTTCAATTTGGGCCTATTTGCGGGCCGACTGATCACTTTTTTCGGGCCCATTTTGGGGGCCGATAAGTGTGCAATTTGGGCCCATTTGCGGAGTGTTCAATTTTGGACCGTTTTGGGGCCGACAGAGCGCTTTATTTGGGAGCCGACACATGTTCAAGTTGGTACCATTTGCGGGCCGACTGAACGCTTATTTGGAGGCCGATAAGTTCTCAATTTGAAACCATTTGGGGGCCGACTGAGCATTGATTGGGGGGGGGTCGATAAGTGTTCAATTCGGGGCCATTTGTGGGGAATTAGGTGTTTCAACTCGAAAAAATACGTGTTCAATGACCTGACGTGGTGGTGTCGGGTAATCATGTTGTTGACTCTTTCGATTTCCCATTGCTGTACAGCAGTGATCAAGGTTTCTTCGGGATGTTGGCGGTGGCGTGGCGAATGCTTGTAGACTATGTAGACAAATTGTTTAATCCAGTAGTATTCGCAGCCCAGTCACCTCGCGTTCTAAACATAGCCCTTGCGCAAGCACTTACCCCTATGAAGGCTAAACTTAACAAGGTAGCTATCGTTCTCAAGTGGCAGACTTGTTTGCTTGTGTTTTAAATGCAAAGCAGAATTGAACGTTCTGCAGGCAAAATCCGCAACATGTCCCCTAACACACATATGTGTCGTAAGTTTTCTTGCAGGAGCCGAAGAAGCCGAAGCCAGCGAAGATGTTACTTGGACAGCGGTGCAGTTTCTGTTGGCCGCTTTGGGGTTAAGGGGTCGTCTAGGTTCACGGAGTGAGGCCTAGCTTTGGGTTTTATGTTTAGGGATGGTTTAGGGTATAGGGTTCAATATAGAATCCGTCCGAATATCTGACAACATTATTCCTCAGGGTTTCTGACGGTAGCTGCACGGTAGCACCTCCCCTTTCGGCAACTGTTCTGCTGCAAGCTCACTCCGGGTGCATCTGAGCTTGTATTGACACTGAGGGTGTTGTTATGATTGCGGTTCCACGGCTTGGCTTCTTCGTAGACAAACGCGCAGTGCCCACAGTTAAGGTGCAAGAGAATACACCTGTTGAACTGTTGTGATCGACTGTATTTCATGTATATATGCATGGATAAAGGTCTGAATGTGTGCATGTATGTCTGTATGAATGAAGGAATGTATGCATGTATGTATGTGTGTGTACGTAACACAAATATATAGTCAACTAACGTATAGTACAGTACATTACAGTATAGTCTAGTCTAGTGTATATATATTATATATATATACATATATGTATATATATATATATACATACACACACACCCTGTCGACAGGGCCTGTGTGACCCAACCCACAGACCTACCACAGGCCCTGGGCAGTGCCTGCGAACAGGGCCTGTGGCGGGGCGTGACAGGTTCAGAGGTAGAGCTACGGACAGGTCAAGGGTAGGCTCTCGGCGAGGGGGGGGGGTAGGGTTTAGGGTTGGGGGTTATGCGAAAAGGAAGCTGCGGCCTTCGGCAAGGTTCAGCTCAGGGTTATCAGACACCCGTCGCGCCCTTCTACTCCCGAAACAGACAACCAGCATGAAGGTATCAAGTGGTGGGGGTCTCGAGGTACATCATGCCTTTTCTGAAAAGAGACTATGTAAAGCCGTGAACCTCGCGAAGCCCCAAGTTCCGGAGGTAGTTTAAGATGAGATCTTACCTTACCTCCAAGAGCCCGTTGTCAGTTTGCAGACGGCTACGGCTATGTAAATCCCCGAACTTTGGCGAAACCCTAAGCCCTACAGTAAGCCATAAGAGCCCCGCAACCGCAAGGTTCGCGCAGAAGACACGCGGAGGGCGCAAGAATCAAAAAAGCAAGCAGCAAAGGCAGGCCTAAGCCAGAAAGCCGTAACTGTAGTCCATGCCCTCAAGCTACGCTAAGTGGGGAAAGGTGTAATTAGGTTTAAGTGGTCAACGGTACTTTGCACTAGCCGAGAGTCAGAGATTTAGGTGCAAGAAATGGGAGAGTTCGCGGTTCAAGTCTATTCAGCCTTCTCTATTTTCGTTGTTGCGGTTCTGGTTGCTGCAGAGGGCCCCAATACCATATGGAGGTGGAAAGCCTCTTCGAGCACAGACCCCGCAGGCTCAAATCTATCCGCAGCCGCTGTTCCACCCCCCCCCCCTCCACTACAGGTGAAGGGATGGCCTCCAAGCTTAGGAAGCAGAGGCTCGGCGTGCCTACTGCTGCTGCAAGGTGCATTTAAAGCCTTGCCGGCTTGTGGTTAACCGGGGTTAGCCTTGCCGTAGCCCAAGACCCTAAGCGACAAAACCCTGACTTAGGTTTTAGGTCCAAAAGGGGAAAATGGTTTCAGGCTGCATCTTCCCTTGCAGGGGAGTCTCCACAGAGTGCTTCTTCGAGCTTCGGAATTTGTAGTTCAGGTGTGCTTTGGTTTGCAGCATTGCGTGAAGGAAAGAGCAGTGGCTTTTCTTGGTTTGACATCATAACTGTCCAAACTTGAGAGAATTGAGAGGTCCCAAGGTCAAACCGGACGGCCAGTTACTCCGCTTACTTGATTCACACGACCTAGCCTGGACTGGCTAGCATTCTCCAGTGACTGGCGTCCCACTGCTGGTAGTAACTACCAGACTACCCGTACAACATGTCAAAGGTTTAGGTTCGGAACCCGGAGCATGAAACCCGATTACAGGTGTCTCTTGAGATAATGGGTTCCTTCATGTGAGGTCTTATGAGAAAGAGCTTTCGTGATCCATATAGGGATGCTGTACTATCTTCAGCTCCCTTACTGAGGGCGTAGCTCACAGACGTCAAATGCAAACGAGACAGAACTTGCCAAGAAGGCAAACCAGCAGGATCTTTCAACTTCTGTAAGATTGCTGGGCAACAAAGGACCCACATAGAACCTCGAGCTTTTCAGAAACCCGTGATATTCTCCGTTCACCCTCCCGTAGCCCTGCACAATCGCAAATCCTAGCAAAGTAAACCCCAACCCCTATGACCCAGCAACATCATTTTCTGTGATGAGCTTGTTTCGACGCTGGAAGGTAGGGTTGTTGGATTGTGCTGTAAGGCCTGATTACCAGAAACTCCAAACTTCAGCTTCAGATTGCTGCATGTATATTACGACTCTGCAATCGAAGCCATCACTCATTGAGGCCCGTATGCTATCTGAAGCTCTCGCAACTCTGTGTTGTACAGCTCTCTCCTGTTTCTCAATATCCAGCCTCACTGCCGATCTCGTTATGCTTTTCACTACCATGAAAACAGCATCCGGCGACGTAGTGAGTAGGGTGGTGCACCTGCTACCCGCACTCCGAAAGCAATCCGTAGCCACGATCGGTTAACGGGCTTCCAACCCAAATAGCATACAGCTTGAGCATTCCTCCCCAGCCCAGGCCCCAAAGATCCTCAGAACCCGTGATGCAAACACGACCGACGCTCCAACCCCGCGGGCCAGTAAGACCCTAAACCGCCCTAAACCCTAAACCGAATTTCGCACAAGGAAAGTACAGCCCTGCACCCTAAACCTCTACACCCCCCAAGCCCTACAGTGAGGACTCTAAGCCTCCGCAGTGAGGCAGGCATTTTCGCCCACAAGATGACCTTGAGCCTTCCCTCCCAAAGATAGGGGTCGGAGTTATGGTAATACGGAAAGAAACAATCATGAATATAAGTAGTTTTATGAACAATGCTGGAAGCCATAACAATACCGACAGCATCAATCATAACAATAGTGAAACAAAGCAATACCCAAATTTCAATCAAATTTCTTAGTAGCAGCCACTGAAGCTAGTCATGAAAAACAGTAAGACTACTCGTA